TTATTTCCATTCAGTAAAAAATAATAATTAACTAAGATGAAATATAATAAGTGCAGAATATTATAAAACTGTATTAATTACTACCACCCGGATCTGGAGTCACAATTCACGAGCATTCTAAAATTTACTACAAATAATAATCTAAAAGAAATACAACTGTTTGAATAAAAGAAAACAGTAGGACATAAAAGATAGATGGGGACTTCAAGGTCTGTGAACGCCGACAGATCTACCTTGAGTCTCCGGACAGCGGACCAATAGAAAAATTTCGATCAACTTGAGCCGGTACCAAAATCTGCACAGAAAGTGCAGAGTGCAGCATCAGTATAACCGACCTCATGCACTAGTAAGTGTCGAGCCTAACCTCGGCGAAGTAGTGACAAGGCTAGGACAAGACACCCACATATAACCTGAACAGTATAATCATGCTAGTGGCAACAACAGTAAATAAAGAAATAACGCAGAAATAATGGGAAGGGGACAAACAGTGGGGGAATACAATATAAAGAGTGAGAATAATGAAAAGAAAGAATTAAATCGAAAATACTTAAAAAATTGAGCAAATAAAACAGCAAAGGAAAACTGCGCGGCATCACCCTTCGTGCTTTTACTCTCAACCTCACCAAATAAATAAATAGAACGGCATGGCATCACCCTTCGTGCTTTTACTCTCAGCCTCGCCAAATAAATAAACAGAACGGCACGGCATTACCCTTCGTGCTTTTACTCTCAACCTCGCCAAATAAATAAATAAATAAATAAATAGAACGGCACGGCATCACCCTTCGTGCATTAAACCTCTCAAAATATATACGGCATCACCCTTCGTGCTTTACACTCTTCCTCACAATATAAATAATGCATGCACGGCATCGCCCTTCGTGCTTTACACTCCTCCTCACAAATCACAGAATCAATAACAACGGATAGATAGGAGTATCACAAAGAAACCAGTATTTTACCCATAATCAATAGCACAATATAACCTCAACCTTGAATCAATATTCGAAAGTTACCAAATCTCAGTGAAACTAGATATAAGTCACCCAACATTTCAAATAACCCGCTAAGCATGGATAGTAAAATTTAAGACTACAAAATAGACAAGAATAGAATTTCACTCGCATGCTATGACTCGACAAAGACGCACAGATGCTCGTCACCTCACCTATACATCGTATTTAACGACCAAACACGTAGCAAATAAACACATAATACCTATTCCCTCAAGCCAAAGTTAGACACGACACTTATCTCGCTCCGAAAGCCACTTAATTCTCAATCACAGGTTTTCCTTTGGAATTTACCTCCAAACCACTCGTATCTATTCAAAAATGACTCAATAATATCAAATATTTCTAAAGAAATCAATTATATTTCATAAATTAAATTTCCCAAATTTTCCTCCAAAAAGTCGAAAAATCGACCCCGGGCCCGCTTGGTCAAAACCCGAGGTTCGGACCAAAATCTATTTACCCATTCACTCCCGAGCTCGAATATATAATTGGTTTTGAAATCCGACCTAAAATTGAGGTCTAAATCCCCAAATTTCCGAAATTCCTAGTTTCTACCCTAACCCCTAATTCTACCATGAAAACTCTAGATTTTAGGTGGATAATTCAAGAAATGTAATGGGTAATTTAAAGTAAATAGTTTAGAATCACTTACCAACACTTTGGGGAAGAAAATGACTCTTGAAAATCGCCTCTACCCGTTTAGTTCTTGAAAAATGTTTAAGAAATGGCTTAAACCCGTGTTTGATTCTGTTTTATGCACTGGGCGACAGTGTGCATCGCGTTCACGAGGCCACAGTCGCGTTTACGAAGGGTATTGGCTGCCAAGCCTTCGCGTTCGCGAGACCCTGCTCGCGTTCGCGATGGTTACTCCCCTTGGCCTTCGCGTTCGCGAGACATTGCTCACGTTCGCGATGAAGGAACGACCAACCCTCCCCTGGGTGTGCCTAACACTACGCGTTCGCGAGGAGCTGGTCGCGTTCGCGAAGGATAATGCCCCCATCGCTTCGCGTTCGCGACCAAGCCTTTGCATTCGCGAAGAAGAAAACTTCAGCTGCCCAGTTTACTCTTCGCATTCGCGAGAATACCTTCGCGAACGCGAAGAAGGACCTGCCAGAACACCTGCTGCAGCAAAATATCAGATTTTCAAAGTCCAAAATATCCCGTGGCCTACCCGAAACTCACCCGAGCCCTCAGGGCTTCAAACCAAGCATGAACACAAGTCTAAAAACATCATACGAACTTGCCCGCGCCATCAAATCGCCAAAATAATACCTAGAACTACGAATTTAGCACCAAATCAAATGAAATTCTCAAGAGCACTTTAAAATTCATATCTTCTCAACTAGACGTCTGAATCACGTCAAATCAATTCCGTTTCACACCAAATTTCACAGACAAGTCTTAAATATCATAATAAACCTGTACTGACCCAGCACTAACAATGCCAAACAACAATCAATTCTTAAAAACAATTAATTTTCAGACTTTAAATTTTCATCAAAAATTCATAACTTGTGCTAGGGACCTCCGAATTCGATTCCGGGCATACGCCCAGGTCCCATTATTCGATACGGACCTACTGGGACCGTTAAAACACTGATCCGGGATCGTTTACCAAAAATGTTGACCGAAGTCAACAAAAATTAACTTTTAAGGCATACATTCTTATTTTTATCAATTTTCAACATGAAAGCTTTCTGAAAATATGCCCGGACTATGCACGCAAATCGAGAAGGGGAAAATGAGATTTTTAAGGCTTAAGAGTGCAAATTTGAGTTCTAAAATATTAGATGACCTTTTGGGTCATCACAATTTTTCAAGTATAATAGTAGATCCTAAATCTTTCGCCGAAAACCTCTAAAATATGTGAATAATTTGAAAACTGTGATTTTTTCCAAAAACCTTTCAACAATAAATAAGATATTTCATTTTCAGATAACATGAGGAAAATACATCTTTATGCCTAAATGTCAAAATACAGGTGAAATCATGAATGTCACCAAAGTCTGGTAGCAGAAGGAAATGCATAACTATGCATGTATCTCAAGTACGCATGTCAAATGCAATGCATGTCAATGATGAACTCATGTACTCACCCTCTCAGAGTACTCCATCTCATTGTCTCGTATTCTCACTCATCGTGCTCAATACTCAGCACACTCAGTCACTCAGTATTGTACAGAGCAGATCTAGCCCACATACAAATAAACAAAGTATAATTCAGCTGGTTCACAGTTACGGAAAGATAGGCATGCTTTTCAAGTATAACAGTAAATCCCAAAACTTTCACCGAAAGCACCAAAAGCATATGAATAAGTTTGAAAACCGTGATTTTTCCTAAATATCTTTTAACAATAAATAAGATGTTTCATTTTCATATAGCATGAAAAAAATACATCTCTATGCCTACATGTCAATATACAGGTAAAATCATGAATGCCACCAAAGCCGGGTAGCAGAAGGAAATGCATCTCTATGCATATATCTCAAGTACGCATGTCAAATGCAATGCATCTCAATGATGAACTCGTGTACTCACCCTCTCAGTGTACTTCATATCACTGTCTCGTATTCTCACTCATCATACTCAATACTCAGCACACCTAGTCACTCAGTACTGTACAGGGCAAATTCAGCCCAAATGCAAATCAACCAAGGCAGATCCAGCCCAAAGATGCAAATAAACCAGGGCAAATACAGCCCAATGCAAATGAACCTAGATGCAAATAAACCATGGCAGATCCATCCAAAATGTAAATGATTGCTAACAATTATGCCCACTGTGTGTGTGCAAACTCTAGAGGGGCCGATCCAGGCCAAACGCTATAATAAGACAAATCCTAGCATTAATTAATAAAACTTGTTGCGGCGTGCAGCCCGATCCCATAAATAACACTCACAACATGCCCTTGGCCTCACTCAGTCATCAATCTCTCCAGTCTCTCGGGCTCACAACACTCATGCTAAACAACCCAAATCAATGATACGAGATGTGACAATATACGATAACAAAGACTGAGATATGATATGAAATGATGAATGCGACTGAGCATATAACTGCAATAAAGAAAATAACTCAACAACAAATAACGACCATTGTGGGTCCTAATAGTACCAACATATAGCCTACACATGATTTTTGGTATGAATTGCAACTCAAGTCTTCTAATACATAGAGTACAGTAAAAATGTTCAAATAAAATAGCTACACAGTTCCATAGAATCGACTAAATCATAATTTATATGGTGCATGCCCACACGCCCGTCACCTAGAACGCGAGTCACCTCAACATCACTCACATAGCACTTAATTTGAGGCTTTATACCCTCAGCACCAAATTTAGAAGTATTACTTACCTCGAACGAGCCAAATCCAATACTGAGCAAGCCAAACGATGCTCCAAAAATGCCATCACATGCGTACCGACCTCCGAACGGCTCGAAACTAGCCAAAAGCAACTAAATTACATCAAATAATATCATAGGAAATAAATACAATCGATAAAGGTCAAATCTTTAATCAAAAGCGCAAAATCAACCCAAAAGTCCAACCCGGGTCTACGCCTCGGAACTCGACGAAACTTATAAAATCCGACAACCCATTAAATTACGAGTACAACCATACTAGTTTCATTCAAATCCGACTCCAAATCGATGTTCAAAACTCAAAAAATCATTCTATGAAATTTTAGACTAAAACCCCCCAATTTCTCTTTACAATTCATAATCCAAATGCCAAAAACGAAGATAGAATCAGGAAATATAATCACACCAAGTATAAAACACTTACCCTAATCCTTGTGATGCAAATCGCCTCAAAAATCGTTTCAATCCGAGCTCCATAGCTCTAAATAAGCTAAAATGACCAAACCCTCGAACTTAAAGCTTCTGCCCAATCCTTTTCGCTTTTGCGGACAGTAGGTCGCACCTGCGACCTTCGCTTCTGCGGAACAAAGTCACGCATATGTAAGACAGCCTTGGCCACTAGTGGCCGCTTCTGCGATGACCAGTGTCGCACTTACGATTGCGCTTCTGCGACTGTAGAACAGCTTCTGCGAAGCCTCCCCAGCCAGCTTTCCCCATGTCGCTTCTGCGACCAGCTTCACGTTTTTGTGAGCACGCACCTGCAGTCCTTAATGCGCAGGTGCGATGACATCAGTAACCAAAAACTTCATCAACTTCAACAAGGCTCCAAACGATCTGAACCCCGTCCGAAACTCACCTGAGCCCCTCAGGACCCGTCCGAATATACCAACAGTTTCCATAACATAACACGGACCTACTCGAGGTCTCAAATCATACATAGCAACATCGAAACGACGAATCACACCTCAAATCAAACTTAAATGAATTTTGAATTTTCAACTTCTGAAACTCGCGCCAAAACATAGGAAATCAACTCAATGAACTCAAATTTGGCACGCAAGTCTCAAATAACATAACTAAGCTATTCCAATTCCCGGAACCGCAATCTGAACCCGATATCCATAAAGTCAACTCGCGGTCAAACTTATGGACTTTCCAAACCTTCAAATTTCCAACTTTCGCCAATTAGCGCCGAATCGTTCTAGAAATATCCAAATGCAAACTCCGGGCATACGCCCAAGTCTAAAATTACCATCCGTACCTAACGGAGCCCTCTAAACTTCGTTCCGGGGTCAAATTCACAAAAGTCAAACTTGGTTAACTTTTCCAACTTAAAGCTTAAATCGTGAAATTCATTCTTTCAAATCGATTCCAATTAACCTGAAAACTAAAACCGACGATTCACACAAGTCATAATACATCATACGGAGCTACTCATTCCCTCAAACTATTGAGCGAAGTGCAAATGCTCAAAACAACCTATAGGGTCGTTACATGGAAGATGTAACATTATTAATATAGCTTTTTATTTTCCAGCAACTTTCTTTCTAGATATCTAAAATAGTTCTGGGGTAATCTCATGTGCAAGACTCATCTAAGTTTTTTTATTGGCAACCAGTTCTCCTTTACCAGATATGAAATGTGTTGGATTCTTAGTTAAGACTTTTGTTTCAATGGTCATTTTTTGAAGATGTAGTTTGGAAAACAAATCTGGAAACATATTGCGGAACTTAAGACTAAATGATTATGCATTCAAAAATATAAATCTCCTCTTCAGTGTAATAAGAAGGGAATTTAATATCAATAGATTATGTGAAAAAAACTTGATTTTTCTTTGTTCCTTTTTTTTTAGTTAATGTTTGTATTTTTTTTCTTTCTTCCCTCTAATTGTCTTTGTTTTCTTTAATGCAATGTCTGATTTCTCTGGCCATGTGGATCCAAGAATTCTCCAAGTGTATGTGACCTATTTGAGTTTTATCTCGTCTGGTAGCTATTTTTTATTTTGTTAGAGAGCTTAAACTAAAGAAAAACATGAAATAGAATTAGTCGCATATTCGAAATAAATTAAAGAAGGTATTTTTAATTTATTAATCATATTTGATAGGGTGGGTAAATAAATGGTATTCAACAATCTACATTGTACCCTCATATTGTTACCTTCTTATTTACTTTCAACCTATAGTTTATTGGAAAAATTAACATTTGATTTGTAAATTCATCTTGGTTGCTAACCGTTTGGAACATTTAGGGCAGTGACACTCTGATTTGTTTTTGAAGTAAGTCTGAGCGAAAAAGGAGGTTTCTGTGTGTTTGGTTGTATGCCAACACTCCAAATTGCCCCAATCATTCGCTGCATTGGTACCCAACTCGAATTGCTTGTTTGTATTTCAACTAAAGAAAGGTCACCATCGCCATCTACTGCTTCAGATGTAACTGCGAAGAAATTAGGATTGGAACATTTTTTCGCCATAAATATGATATTTGTGTTGTAATTGCATGCTACCCTATAAGGTTCAATAAAAATTAAAAAAATTAATGCATTAGCAAGGTTCCTCAGAAGGAAAATAAGAGAGAAAAAATAAATTTATTGCTTCCTACCCCCCTCCCCCAAATATAATACATTCGTATAAGATGGAACAAGTGAAGTTACTTTTAATTTTTGTAGAATAACTCACCTTCGGTAAAAAATCAAGATTCTTCCTGCATTATATAATTGTGAAGCTTTGCCAGACTTTACCAATTTTTCAAAGGTAATTCCACTTATATCAAAGTGAACCGGATCATTATTGCATACTCCTGGGCACTCATCTGTAAGGGTTACTGTTATTGGATTCCCTGAACAATGCGTATTCTAATTTTGGGTGCATAATACCTGAAAAACAATGTCGATATTATAGAGATGCCATGCATTCGTGCATGAAACTAAAATATTCATGCACATTCTCTCTTTTATTTCAGAGTTTTATTTCCTTGTCATCTCATGCAACATAAGATGTGTTGTTCTACAAATTGTAAATTCACAAGATCAGTGACGGAATCAGGAGTTCTATCAAGGGGATTCCAAAATATCTAAAAATGTTACATTTAAAATTTGTACCTACATTTTCTCTTATAAGGAGATTTAAAAATTTGTGTATTTTAAATTTACTTTTACCCAATTTATGTTATATAACTTTCTGAAGAAGGAAATTCAATTGAATCTCATTCACTCTACGTGGTAACATGCACCACATCCAGCACCTTGCTTAAAAAATGCTTGATTTCCGGCCGTGATCATTGCATTGTAGGGAGCGCTTGCTATGTCATTTTCGAGCTCACATGTTCCACCTAGAACAAAATAGTAAGAATAAAATATATTTTTCAATCATTTAGCCCGATAATCATTAATGAAGTATGTAAAAATCAAGACTATATTGATCAAGCCATTTCGATGAACAGTTGTCTACAAAATTCCATTTAATTTGTAGATACCTTATATTATGAAGGGGAAGGAAGAGGAACTTGATAAGGGGATTACAAAATGCAAATCAAATACTTACAAACAATGTATAATTCAGATAGCCAACAACCGAACTACTAAGATTTATCTTCAAAATTGTATTTGAAATCTAAAGTAGGTTTAATTTAATTTTAATCTAGTAGGCTACTTCATAATTTTAATTTTAAGACACTACCACTCCCGGGACTAGTAGGATTTTTATAAAATATTGCAACAGCTTTTGAATAACCACTTAGTTGGCAAGAGGAAAATCTAAACAAACACGAGCAAAAAGCTACAAATATCCAAAGGAAAAGACACCGAGGAAAATTTACAGCCATGACCTAGTAATTATCTTTGATTAACTAAGTGATGCTCTAATATTTTTTGCTAATTGCTTATGCAATGCCATGTTAATTGGTACTATTTATAGTAAAAAACGAATATTAACATGTTGAGGATACTAATTATGAAAAATGAACCATTTTGCCAATTTAAGGTAAGATCTTTATTGCCTTACTATTTAGTTTGGAGATGCTGACACTTTAAAGATTATTACATCTCATGATTCTCATCTTCTCTTTAATTCTTTTATTTCTTTTTGTCATATACCAACTAAACACCATATGATTTGAGGCATCTACCATCACAGAACAAGAGGCATGCAGTAAACATATCGAAATGCATAACAGCTAACCATAAGTTGAGAAGATCAAAAGAAAAATATATTGATTAATAAAGACTTGGCTTGATTTTTTCAAATGATTAAACTTTTTTCATCACAAGCATTTTTTTTGCGGTGCTATAACCTCATTCTTTTCTTTTATAACAAGCATTGCTACCTTTATATAACAAACTCACTTACATGCATAATGTGATCACTTATGCAACACTGCAAATTAGTACAGAACACATGCAATATATTATATATGTGATACATGACTGAAGCTGAAACATTGTACAGCGCAACTTTGGAAAATCATACAAGCGTCCACAAATTTATTTGGAGCTCAAATTGATCTGATTTCAATTGTAACTTTAAAATCATGTACACGTTTGTTCCCACATATACATGATTGTCCAACAAGGTATGTATTAGAATTTTTCTTGCAATTTTCTGACCAATTGAAATGTTAAATTTAGTCTAAATGAGCATTTATAGGGTATAGCCTCCGCTTATCTCAAAGTCCTTAGCTTAGACTTGGCTACATAAACCTGTCATCAAGTGTCACTCTACATAATTAGGGATCGTTTGATTAATCAAGTGTTTAACCAATACAGTGTTTGATTAGTGTAAACGAATAAATGAACAATTAATCCCAACATAAAATTTCCCATATAGGGTAAATAGTATCCATATTTGAATTATGCGAAAATCTAGAATGTGAAGTAAGAATACATGTATTAACAATAAGATCTAACTAATTAAAAATAAATGTATGTCAAACTTATGTTTCACGATAATACTGGTTAAATGTGCAAAAAAATTAAAAATAACGGGTCAAATGAACGAAAACTATATCGATTCAATGGCATTTAAACGAATGTTTGATTCGTGACGCTTCAAATACAACCTTTATTCAACTTTTTTTCTTCAAATCCTTTTTATTTGGAACTGTAAGAAAGCATCGACATGCTTATAATTCCTAAGATATTTCTTTTCAGTTCATTTGTCAAACATATATATGAAGAAATATTTCTTTTATTTTCTCGAGGAACATAGTATTTTAGTATATCTAAAATAGTTCTTATATAGAACGATTTCTTCGTATCAAGTATCACATTTCAATCCCTCATTTTTTGTGGTTTTTTCCTTTATAATTTCTAACGGAGTCAAAAGTAGATTCATTTTATGAAAGTGTAGAAACCAAAAATAATGACTCATGCAACGTTGGTTGGGAATATAGCGTACCTACCACTATGTATTGCGAATATTCAACAATGAATTTAAAGGGTGATGGAGCATTTTTGGATTTTAAACTAAAAAAGAAGAAACAGTCTTTCTGTAGGTGTATATATATTAGTGTTATGGAAGATAGTGAGACAGATGAGATTGGAAAAATGAATGGTGATTTTGTAGTTCAGCCCAGGAAATGGGGTTTCAAGAATCAAAGAGAGGCTCACATGGGATGCTTCCTAGTCAACATACAACAACAATCTATCCAGTATAATCCTACAAGTGGGGTCAAGGGAAGGTAGTGAATACTCAACCGCACCCCTATCTTGTGGAGGTAGAGAGACTATTTCTAATAAACACTCGATTCAAAGCAAGCATACATAATCCATCACAATAGAATAGAGAAAGAGACACACTAGCGAAAGAGCGAAGCAGTGTCACGACCCAAAATCCTAACCTGTCGTGATGGCGCCTATCGTGGTACTAGGCAAGCCGATATTTTAAAATATTTCTAATACTTTTAACAAAAAATAAATTAAAGCAGCTTAAACAATAAAAGTTCTCATAAACAGGTTAGAAACCCAAAACACAACGCGAAAGTTCCCAACTATCGGGGTGTCACAGAGTACACGAGCATCTACATAAAAACACAGTCTAATACACCGTCTAGGAAATAACAACTGAAACATAAAATGGAAGATAGGGAGGGAGATTCAAAGTCTGCGAATGCCAAGCAGCTACCTCGATAGTCTTCGAAAATCCGGACTCCACAACACAACAACCGTCATGACCGGAAGTACCTGGATCTGCACACAAGATGCAGGGTATAGCGTGAGTACAACAAACTCAATAAGTAACAAATTTAACATTTGTACTGAAAGGTAGTGACGAACTCAACAGTTACAGTTCAACATAGAAATAACAGTACAGGAATGTAGGCATGCTTTCAAGTTCAACAGTTAAACTCAATTCAAGTAAAATAAATCAAATTCTGAATGATATGAGGAGTATGACCTCTCTACATCTACATGCCAATGCACATGTTGTATGCGATGCACCACACTAAAAGTTTCGTTTACTCACACTCTCAGAATACTCAACCGCTCAGTATTGTATATGGCCAATCCAGCCCAGGGAAGATCCATCCTATATATATATATATATATATATATATATATATATATACCTCGACTAACAGTCAGTTACTCAGTACTGTATAAGGCCAATCCAGCCCAAGAGAACATCCATCCCCAAATATAAATGATTCGGATAAGATCCATGTCGAGGGAAGATCCATCCCTCAATATAATCAACTGCGCTCACTGGGGTGTGTATAGACTCCGGAGGGGCTCCTTCAGCCCAAGCGCTATAATAAGCCAGATCCAAGCATAAATCAATAAACACGATGCGGCGTGCAGCTCGATCTCATAACTGTCACTCTCAATCAGGCCCTCGGCCTCACTCAGTCATCAATCTCTCCGGTCTCTCTCTCTCGGGCTCACAGTGTCGTGAAAACTAGCCCAAAATGATGATATGACATAACAATAAATAACAACAGAGACTGAAAAATGATATGCAATGAATAAATATGACTGAGTACAAAATTTTAATGTAATCAATAAGATGACTGAGTACGAAATTTCAATGTAATCAATAAGTTAACAGCAAGGAAATGACCATTATGGGTCTCAACAGTACCAGCAATAGCCTAAACATGATTTCTAGCATGATTGGCAGCTAAATTACTTATCACCGATGAAAACACGGATATCAACAAGATAAATCCACTATACAGTTCCATGGAATCGACTAGGTCATAGTTCTTACAGTGCACGCCTCCACACCCGTCACTTGACATGTGCGTTACCTCAACCCCAATCGTATAACACATAATTCGGGGTTCCGAACCCTCAGGGCCAAGTTTAGAAGTGTTACTTACTTCAATCCGAGCAAATATCTACTCCAACACACCCTTGCCTCGCGAAATGGACTCTGAATGCCTCGAATCTAGCCATAAATAATTCGATATAATCAACACGGGCTAAAGGAATCAATTCCAGAAGAAACATACTAAGTTATTAATCAAAAGTAAAAAAATCAACTCAAAAGCCGGCCCTCGGGCCCACATCTCAAAATTCGATAAAAGTCACAAAACTCGAAAGTCCATTCAACCACGAGTCCAACCATACCAAATTTGCTAAAATCCGACTCCAAATCATCACCCAAATCCCAAAATCAAACTCTCCAAATCTCTAGCCTCAAACTCCCAATTTATACCTTAAATATACACCAACTAGGTGGAACAATAAGTGGGGAAATAAGATTATTGATCAAAAATAAGCACAAGGGACTTATCTCAAGAAACCCCTCGAAAAGCCTCTCAAGAATCGCCAAAACCCGAGCTTAAAATGTTTAAAATGAAGCAAAATCGCGAACCCTTATTTTTAAGTGTTCTGTCCAGCATTTCCGCTTCTACGGACACATAGCCGCATCTGCGGAATCGCAAAAGCGACAATCCGCCCGCTTCTGCAGTGAACCACTAGAGTTGGGCCTCCACTTCTGCGGTCCTCCCCCCGTATCTGCGCAAGTGCGGAATTCCCCATCGCACCTGCGCGCCTTTCGCTTTTGTGCCCCTCTCGCTGCACATGCGGCCATGCAGGTGCAGAAAACTCCTCACACATGCGACCACGTGCACACTCCCCTCCAAACTCGCCCCTGCGCAACCCAGCCCGCGCCTGCGATCAAAGCTCCGCATGTGCGGTTACACCAGTAGCCTCCAGCTTCAGCAACCTTTAAATTTTAACTTTTGATCCGTTAAACATCCGAAATCAACCCGAGGCCCCCGGGACCTCAACCAAACATACTAACAAGTCTTAAAACACGATACAAACTTAGTCGAGCCCTCGAATCACCTCAAACAACATCAAAAATACGAATCGCACCCCAATTCAA